AGGTGACAAGCAGGTCCTGCCCTGAAGATCTTCGAGGAGACCTCAGCTTCCCAGGAGAGACGAGGGGCCTGACGTCTCTCTGACGCTTTGCGTCTCTCTGGTCTGGTGTCCCCTTCCCCTGCCCCACAGGGTCCAGCTTAGGGTCCACCCTGTTCACAGAAATGATTATCCTCCACCAAAAACGTAAAGCATGAAGAACAATAGTTGTGTATGTTTTGGGAGCATTCACCATGTCCTGGGAACTGCGCTCAAAGTCTTAGTTTATTTCATATTCACAGCGAGTTTGTGAAGGAGGGACCATTAGAATCCCCAAGAAACCAGAGTCTGGAGGAGTTAAGTAGCTTGCCCACGGTCACACGGTTAGAAATGCGGGCGGACGTGCCCCGTGGTCACTCGGCGCTGGTGCTTCCCCGGCATGTCCGCCCGGGTCTGAGCCCCCGCAGTCCACTTCCCCGGCAGGCGAGGAGCCACACGCCCCTGCACAGGCCAGGCCGCCCGGGGTTTCCCAAGCCCAGTTCCCTAGCTCTTTGCTCTCTCAGGGGCTGCTGGGTGGCTGCTCAGTACGGTTTCCCACACCAGTTGCCCCACCAGGTGCCCCAGGGAGACTGAATGAGGATGTTCACCCCTAGCACTGAGCCACGGACTTCTTCCCCCCCTTTCCAAGAACCCCTTGCAAAAGCACAGCGCCTTGTCAGTTGTTGACCTCTCTTCCCTGATTTTCCTCTGGAGCTCACTCCTGTCCACCGGTAACAACAAAACTGGTGCCAGTGACAACAACACACAACCAGACAAGCAGCAAGCGAATGAGTGTTGGCGGAGAGATTTGGAGATGTGACTTCACGTAGTGTGCATCATGTCCTGTGCTATTGAGAGACCTAACTATATATCAGTTACATTATTTCCGCTAGTAAGTTTGTTCCTGGTTTGTAATGACGTAGCTAAAGCAATCTCTGTGTATGAGAGTTCGTGGCTTGCAGGTGTTCTGCCAACAAAACAAATTTCAAAACTAGGGAATATTTAAAACTAGACTGGGCGGAAGTAGGTACTTCTAATAAGAATAGCTGATATTTATGATGTAGCTTCCTACCTTCCAGGACAGTTCCTGAGGACTTTTGATCCACTTTGGATCTCAGTGAAACCTCACAAGGCCCCTATGAAGTCGATACTATCATGATACCCATTTTACAGGTGAGGAAACTGAGGCTGAGGGAGATTACGTAGCTTGCCAAAGTCACGAGTTTAAAGCCAGTGGGAGGGGACGTGGGATGAGCCCAGTCTGATTCCAGGCCCTGCTTCTTTTCTCCAGGCTGGAAGGAAAATAAAGAAGGAAGATGGGGATAGAAGGCCAATTCTTAGGAAGTACTTTCTCTTGTCCAGTGCTGCAATAAGGGCTTTACTACCTGTCTTCTGTCATGAAGCAGTGCCTGGTGTGTGTGTGTGTGTGTGTGTGTGTGTGTGTGTGTGTGTGTATGACATGCACTGGAGCAGGGCTCAAACGACCATCAAAGTTTTATCTGCCTCCTGAGGGCTGTGGGTCAAACAAGACACAAGTGGGGCATAGGCTTTGAAGGCTACTTCTGCGCCCGGGTTTCACTAGAGAGCAACAGGTCCTGGTGGGTTGGCCCAGCAAGCTCAGGGCGGGACGGCACACAACTGAGGGGATCTGGGCGTTTGCACGCGGTTCTCGGGCCTCCAAGAGCCCACCCTTCCCAGCCTCGGTGTGCCTGTCATCAGGCTGGCTGCGTCCAAGGCCATGCTAAGTCCTGTGCATTCTCCCCTACGCTGGCTTAACTCTGCCCTTTCCAGCCTTGCTCACCTCCTTGCACCCCCGTGAGGGCGAACCCACTCAGCACCAGAACTTGGCTCTCATCGCATCACCTGCCTGTGAGGGGTCCCGGCAGAAGATTCTGTGGGCAGGGGAGGGCCTCGAGGTCTTACATAACCAGTATTGAGCGCTGGGTGTTGATTCCCAATAATCCATACCCCTGCCTCCCTTAATCACAGCTTCGAGGGAACAACAGCCGGGGTCACGTGGAGGAGCATTCAAAATAGCAACCACACCGAGGAAATATTGGTTCCCGCGGCCCACCCCCTTCCCGCACCCCTCTTTTCATATATGAATTCAGTTTTTTGTCAGGCTGAGCATTTAAATGCACTCTCTGCTCTCTGGATTCCCCCGTTTCTTCCCCTTCCTCATTAAAATTCTAATTATTACCAGAGCAAGTAAGATGTATGATCAAAAGAAAGCCAAAGCCCCAGGAATACCTTTTGTTTTTAAGATGACTCATTGTGAAGAAGGCATCCAGAACAGCGGTGGCGGCGGGCAGAGAAGGGTCTAGGGACGGCCAGACACTTAGAACCAGGCCGTGTCTATCTGCGGTCGTCTCATGAACCTCGGGAGCCTAAGGGCCCAGAGAAACAGACTCCAAATCATTTAGGTCATCAGCTCATAACAGCAGAAACTGTTTTAAGACCCCCCCATGAATGTTTATTTGATCCCGTGATGTACAGCACACGTCGGTAGAGGGGGTGCTGCAGAGCTGAACGGCCTGGGTTGAATCTCAGTCCTGCCACTTAAGAGCTGTGTGACCCTGGGCAACCTAGTTAATCCCTGGAGCCTCAGCTTCCTCACCTGCAAATGAGGATAATAACCATTCCTATTCCCCTGGAGAGTAGCACATCAGTGAGTACACAGGAAGCCCTTTGTAAAACCATGGACATTGTAATATTCAATAATTTGACTAGATCCAATAGTACTATTACTATCCACCTGTATGTTTATTAAAATTTTTATCTTTTTTTTTTAACCCTCACCTGAGGAAATGTTGTTTACTGATTTCAGAGAGAGAGAGAGAAAGAGAGAGAAATATCAGTAGGTTTCCTCCTGTATGTGCCCCGACCGGGAATGGGACCCACAGCCTTTTGGTGTGTGGGACGACGCTCCTGCTAACTGAGCCACCCGGCCAGGGCTTGATGTCTTATTTTTAAGATAATAAATAAATATTTTAAAAATCTATTTTTTTTTTCTCCTGTGCCCTAGGGATGCACACTTACCACGTCAGAGACTTTGAGTCGTTGACTTATAATCAGCTTTCCCTGTCTCTGGGGGAAGGACTAACCCCAGCTCCTTTGGCCAAGGAAAGGCTCCAGTGTCTCTGTGCAGGGGTCTGGGGGCTGGTGCCAGTGGCTAAGGCCCTGAGGATTGTCTGCCATTAGTTCCTAGTCTTGAAGGTGGTAGCTGATCAAGGCCATTGCTTTACAGCCAGAGAATCGGAAGGCCTTGCTGGCTCCCCAGAGAGCGTGGCAGGTGCTCTCACCTCCTTTTTGATCCCCCTGGATGGGGAGGGCGTTCCCTGGGCCCATGGCTGTGAGAGCACTCTGGGCCCCCCCCAGGAGGGACCTAGCATCTCTGTACTTCAAGCAGAGCTTAGCACCTGGCACAAGGCAAATGCTCAGTAAATGCTGGTTGAGAGGTAATTACAGCTCCTTTATGTGCCATTCATTCATTTACTCATTTATTCTCAGGGGCCAATTTCTATGCGAGGCCCTGAGTCAGACGCGTATAAAAAACACAGGGCTCTAGTAGCCTACAGCTTAATCAGGGATAAACAGGCTGGGCAGCAGACACCAGGACCCTGATCCAGGCTCTGTGTCTGACCTGTGACCCCTGGCAGGCCCTTTCTCTGGACCACTCCTCTTCCCTACAGAAGCACAGCCTGGCCTCAGTACTTGTAGGGTCATTTCTCACCATAATAAGATTCTTAAGGCCTCGGGACAAGATAATCCTGAGGCTGCAAACTCACGGCCTGCAGGGGCCAGGCGGAGAACAGGGAGTAGAATTGGTGAGGACATGTCATTCCAAAGAGAGTCACCTGTGCCCACCATGCATGACAAGTCCAGGTACTAAGTCATCTGTCCTTTGCCAGAGTAGCGAAAAAATCCGACGTGATGGTCATAGTGGTGGAATTTCTTAATTTTCCAGACAGCATGCAAGCTATACAAGACTTCTCTGCGGGCTTGTCCCCAAGTGGCCTTTGCGCACACCTGCCAGCTGCACCGTTGGTTCAGAGCCTTCTGACCTCTCCACCCAGAGGGAGAAGAGGCCTTGGGCTCAAAAGGTCTTTCCTAAAAGCGGGATGAGAGGCCTGCCCAATCATTTCTCCCCCAGGGAGGCATCCTCACAGCTCTCTGGGGACAATGGGCACCCTCCCAGGGGCAGGGATGGACTAGGGATGGGGCAGTGAGCCACCTGAACCAACAACAGCATTCAAAAATACCAGTTTTACAACAAAGCTCTCAAATAGCCACAGGAATGGGAAAAAAGGCAGCTCTAGGGATAATCTGTACTTAGCTTTGAAATAAACTGTGGATTGGATTCCAACTTAATACAAGTATTTATGGAGCCTACTATAAGCAGACTTCTGAGCGTAGAAGGCGATGTGACCGAATCGGAGGCCTCAGAGCGATCATACATGAGCTCATTCATTTCAAGTCAACTCCGCGACTCTTCACGGAGCCCCTGCTTAGGGCTCAGTGGGGCGGGGGGAGGGAAGGGGATGGATGCATTCCGCCCGTCAGCCCATTGAGGAAGAGGCTGTGCACAAAATGACTCCGTCTGAAGTCTGGCCAGTGTAACAGCTCTAATAGAAATTCAAATAGCATCCGAATGTGAATGCCTCACGAATGTGCACATTTGCTGAGGCTGTTACAGAAATTACTTTCCCTTCCCCAAGTACAAGCCAACAAGCAGTAGGGTGCCCCCCACGCCGGCGGTTGGGGGAGGGGCGGTGCTGTAAAATCAGACCCGGGTGAAGGCGAGTGGACTACGGAGCGTCAACCCTGAGACCATCACTCCTCCGCCCGGGCAGCTTTCTCATGACCGTTCTTTTCTCTTCTTCCGTCTTTGTCCCTTGTGTGTGCTCCCTCTCCCAACGCCCTCCCCTGCGTCTCCCCGCCTCTGTGTGGCACTGTCCCCCCTGCCTGGCTTGTGCCGAGGGCAGGCACTTCTGACAGCCTACTCGCAGTGGTAGTGACTGTGTGTGGCGTGGCCCTGGTGGCAGTTTTTCTCTTTCTCTTTTGGAAGCTGTGTTGGACGCCCTGGAGGAACAAGGAGGCCTCCGGTCCCTCTTCTGCTGACCTGGCCCTGGAAGCCCTCCAGAGCCCCAGCTCCAGAGGCAACATGGCGGACAAGCTGAAGGACCCCCACACCCTGGGCTTCCTGGAGGCGGCCGTGAAGATCAGCCACACGTCCCCCGACATCCCGGCTGAGGTGCAGATGTCGGTCAGAGAGCACATCGCACGTCACACGCGGCTGCAGAGGCAGACCACAGAGCCAGCATCATCCACCAGGTGAGCGGTGGGGCCCTCCCTTTCCTCAGCCCACACCTCCGCATCCCCTTCTTCAGTCAAGAGATCCCAGCCTGCGAGGGCCAGGGACCAGAAATAATAACAAGAGAGCTCTGACTGGAGAGCATTTCAGACGATGCGGTCCATGGTGGGCAGTCGGCTAGGAGGTGGGCCCCAGCAAAGCCCTCAGGAAACGGGAGCCCTTTGCGTGGGGTGCTGTGCGTGGGGTGCACACCCGGATGTGTGTGGGTGGGAGATGTTGGGTGTTTGGAGGGAAAGGAAGACATCTGGCAGAGGGAAGAGGATGTGCAAAGGTCTAGAGGCATGAACGTTCCCGGGGCGTCTAGAGACATGTCAGCAAAGCCTGGGAGAGGAGTCTGCAGGGCACTGGAGAGAGGGCAGGAGAGTCGTAACGCTGTGGGAATGGAGCTTCCTTTATAACCCTTGACAGAGTTCCCTGCATGACAGCAGTCGAAAACATGGCATTCTTTAACTGAAAAAACAAAACCAACAACCGCCACACAACAACAAGAACCTGCTCTAAATCCAGAAACACTTTTAAAAAAAGTGATGCTTGCAGGCATGAAGCATTCTGTTTATTCACAACTGAGGGCTCTGGTGGCTTTCTGGGTCCCTGCAGCATCCTCCCCATCCCTAGCTGTCAGGGGACCAGCCCAACGGAAGGAGGCCTGGTCTCCACATTGGAGGCCAGGGATCAGAGTGCTGGGGTCACATTTACAGTGTATCGTATGACTTCGAACAAGGTGCTCGTGTTTCCTCGGTCTTACTTTCCCCAGCTGTAAAATAGAGCTAATGTCTCATCAGGTTGCTGTGAGGAGCCCATGAAAGAAACCGTATGATAATGAGAGCTAAGGATATATATCACTTATTGCACACTGGCCCTGTCCTTTTTTTTTTTCTTTAAGATTTTAGTTATTTTTGGAGAGAGGGGAAGGGAGGGAGAGAAACATCAATGTGTGGTTGCCTCTCGGGCGCCCCCTACTGGGGTCCAGGCCTGCAACCCAGGCATGTGCCCTGACTGGGAATTGAACTGGCAACCCTTTGGTTCCCAGGCTGGCACTCAATCCACTGAGCCACACCAGCCAGGGTGGCCCTGTCCAAATATGTACTTCATATGTATGAGTTCATTTCATCCTCACAGCAATCGTGTGCAATTGTTACTTTTATTATCTTTGTTTTCTATCAAAGAGAAGTTAAATAACTTGCCCAAGGTGACATAGCGAGACAGTGGCAGAGCTAAAATTAACCTATACAATCTGGCTGCAAAGCCCAATAATGTGAACTATGGTGATGGCCGGAGGGGGCAGGGGCGGGTGGTGGAGGGACAGCCACCAGCCACATCCAGGAGAGGAAAGGATGGTCCTCCTCTTAAGGGATCTCAGGTTTAACGTGGGAACAAGAGTCACGTCTGGTAGGAAAGAAACCTAGAAAGCAGGTAGTTAGCAGAAAGGCAGGGAAAATGATAATGGCTAATATTCATTGAGCATACTATAAACCAGGCCCCACTGCAACCACTTTACATATATTAAGACGGGTACCACACACAACAACCTGCACGCAAAATGTGTGCAGAGAGAAAGGGGGCAAAAAGCAGGAGGAAATGGGGGCCCCGGGGAATGGTGAGCCAGGGCCCCAGGGCTGTGTCTACCTGCACCCAGGCCCCAGAGCCCTGACCACACCCTCCGCGCCCTCCTGCCTTCCACCAGGCACACGTCCTTCAAGCGCCATCTGCCCCGGCAGATGCACGTCTCCAGCGTGGACTACGGTAACGAGCTGCCGCCGGCTGCAGAGCAACCCACCAGCATCGGCCGCATCAAGCCCGAGCTGTACAAGCAGAAGTCGGTGGATGGGGACGATGCCAAATCCGAGGCCGCCAAGAGCTGCGGGAAGATCAACTTCAGCCTGCGCTACGACTACGAGACCGAGACCCTGATCGTACGCATCCTGAAGGCCTTCGACCTCCCTGCCAAGGACTTTTGCGGCAGCTCTGACCCTTACGTCAAGATCTACCTCCTGCCCGACCGCAAATGCAAGCAGCAGACGCGGGTGCACCGCAAGACCCTGAACCCCACCTTCGACGAGAACTTCTACTTCCCAGTGCCGTACGAGGAGCTGGCCGACCGCAAGCTGCACCTTAGCGTCTTCGACTTCGACCGCTTCTCCCGCCATGACATGATTGGGGAGGTCATCCTGGACAACCTCTTTGAGGCCTCCGACCTGTCCCGGGAAACCTCCATCTGGAAGGATATCCAGTACGCCACGAGTGTGAGTACAGCCTGCCCTCTGGGCTTCTGGAAGATTCCTGGTTCTGGGTTGAGAGGGATGTGTCCCCACCCCCTCACCCCTGGAGACAGATGGGCCTTTGCCCTTCAGTATATGAAGGGTGGTTGTGGAAACTGACTGTGGCCCAGCCCACCCAGGGGAAGGGCTTGCAGTCCGTTGCAGGTTTGGGGGGGGCAGCAGAGCCCCCATGTGGGTGAGAAGGGAAGGGAATGTTTATTGCGTCCCATCGCAAGTTCTAGGTAATTCTATCTACCTGCTACTGTCACGTTTTCCACCTACAGTGTAATGTTATTTGTCTCTTTGATCCTGGGTAGGGATTGGGCCAGGCCCGTAGGTCGAATCAGACAGCAGCATCTGGAAAAGGCAATCAAGAACAGGCCACATTAATCAGGATGAGCCAGATTATTCCACAGCAACAAACAAGCTTAGGATCTGGTGGCTTAGAGCAACAATTTCAACCGGTGTGCCGCGAGAATTTTCAAAACACGATACCTGACTGTTTAGTCAGGGACACTCACCTCTTTTTCCTTAGATTGTCAAATAAAAAAGTGACAATAGCCAATGCAATGATACCTGTCCAGTGTGAATGAGCCAAAATTATACCTATTTTTTTTTGTCAGATCAACAGAAGATAGAATATGTTCTTTGGTGTGCCACAGAATTTTAGTAATTAGTTGATGTGTACCATGAGATGAAAGAGGTTGAAAATTGCTGGCTTAAAGCCACCAAGCTTTAGTTCTCATTCACATCACAGGTGTCCTGCAGCCTGGCTGGGGCTCCTCCCTACCTCGGTACCCAGGGACTCCACCGACAGAGGCTCCGTCTCGACGGGTGCTCCCATCGCCACGTCGGGAGGCAGCGGATGTGGCAAATTGTGCGCTGTCTGTTAAAGCTTTGCCCAGAAGTGACACGTGTCACTTCCACTCACATTACATTAGCCAAAGCAAGATGCATGGTGGCTCCTAACATCAAGGCAATCCTAGCGTGTGCCCAGGAGAACCGGGCGGACTTGATGACCACCCCACAGCGGGGCTCCCGCCCTTTGGCACTGCCTGGCGAGGCCAGCCTGGGAGGACACCTGGCCCAGCCCCACACGGGAGGGAGGAGCTGGGCTGTTCACACTCAACAGGACTGAACCCAGCAGGTTTCTAGGAGCTGAGGCTCTGTTCGCCTTTAAGAAGGGAGGTCAGTGCTGGTGCAGGGAACGGGGGTGGCCAGCCCCAGGGCCCTCCGGTCTGGCGTAGCTGGGGTCTCCAGGGCACTGGTGGGGGCTGGGGAGGCTGTGCGGCTGCGCACTGCAGAGCCAGGCGCTATGTCGCTCCGAGTCCACCCAGGCAGCTGAGAGCCCAGCGGGGGCGTTTCCATAGGGCACCAGTGGCCTTGCCTCTGGCGCCTCACATGTCAGCTGCCTGCCTATCACCCTCGACATTTCTCTGGGGCAGAGACAGTGTGTCTTGGGCACAGGGGGCCTCACTCAGCTGGCAGACCCTCCCTTTGGGCAGTCAGTACACGCTACCTCTATGTTGAATTTGTAAGGAGAGAGGCGGGAAAAATCAGCCCTGCTCTGGTAAGAGTAAGAATCTTGATATGTTCAAAGAGGAAGAAGAATTTGCGCCCCGTTTCTGCCCCAGGGAGGGTCCCAGGGACACCCCATTCTCATAGCTGGTGCTGACTTTGACCAGTCCAGTCCAATGTCCCAGTGCCTTCCCGACTCTTACTCTCCTGAAATGTCAGCCCCAAGAACAGCAGCAGTAGCGGGCCGGGCAGACAGGGCAGGCAGCCACGGCAGCTCTGCTCAATAAACCACTGAGGTTTACGCCTGCCTTGGTGAGCCCTGAAGGCTATAGCTTCCTTATAGTGACGGTGCAGGTAAAGAAAAGCAGCTCAGCCCTCCACACCCCACACTGTGGCTGAGACTCAGGGGCGCAGGGAGAGGGAGATATGAGGGCCAGGGCCTGCCCCCTTCCCACCAGAGCGCCCCCTTTCCTGGGACTGCAGCCCCAGGCACCAGTGGAAGCAACCCACCCAAGCATGCCCCTCACCTGGGTGCGAAGGTCCTGGATCCTAGAACTCCGTGTGCTCCCTGCTCTTGTCCCATTGCCCTTCCATAGCTCTGCTTCAGAATGAAGTCAGAGTGTCCAAAGGTGCTGGACAAACCGGCACCTGCGCTATCCTCCTCATCGCTACCGTTACAGCCTCCGAGCAGAACACTGTGCCGGGCCCCGCGGCGTGAGGGGGCTGAGCTAGACGACAGCCTCTTCAGCCCACAGAAATGCGTCATCTAATTACAGAGGCAGGAACTGTCCGTGCAGGAGCTAGCGATGCACAGCAGGAAATACTCTACACTGTGTGAGGCTGCAAGACCCGAGAGTCAGGACAGCAGGAAAGGCTTCCCAGACGAGGAGGGTTAAGCTGCATGGGGAGAGACTTGGTAACCAGTGAGGAAGGGGGAGCATTCTAGCCAGGAACAGAAGGCGTCCAGAAAAGAGAGGGTGTCCAGGCCCGGGAGTTTCTGACGCTGGGCTCACACACTCTGTAATAGTCTGCGCTGGAGGTCACAGCTAGGTGAGGCCCCTGGGGACCTCTCCAGCATGCAAAGAGTGAGGCAAAAGACAGGAAAAGGAAATAAAGAAGACTAGTACTTTTATCTGCTTTTTTTTTCTTTTTTTGGTGCTGACTCTAAGCTTGTAATTATTTTGAGGCCAGAGAGGCCTGAGCCCCAGACACCAGGAACGGCCAGGCGCTCGGCGTGTATGAAATCTTGCAGCCAGCGTGCTGGCAGTCGGTACGGATGGGCATAGCCGGCGGCCTGTGCCGTCTGCCAATTCCCTCCCACAGGCTGCACTTGGGCCCCAAGCTCAGAACTTCTGCGGCTCCTCGGCCCCACCAGCTGGTCCCTGAACACGCCTGACATTCCTCCCCGCTGCGTCTTGTCTTTGCACACAAGGTACCCCTGTCTGGCAGGCCTTCCCCCCGCACCCTAACCTGGCCCAAACCAACCCACCTTCTGCAGCTTCCCTGAAGTCAGCCATCACTCGATTTACTGTGTTTCTTGTCCCTTGGTTACATCCCAAATCATATTCTGTCTTGCCAGCTGCTCCCCGTGGCTCAGGAATGACTTGTGTCCCACATTTGGCTTTCTCTTGTACTGTTCCCTCAGGGCTGCTCAGGCCATTTTATACACATGCAAGAACTTGGCACACTCTTGTCGAAGGACAAGGGGCTTAGTTAATCCAGTTACAACCATGGACAGATGCTCCTCCACTGGTCCTGCGGTTACATCCCAGTAAGTCCATCCTAAGTTGAAAATACCCTGAGTCAACATGCATTCAATACACCTAGCCTACTGAACATCACATGCTAGCTGAGCCCACCTTAAACATGCTCGAAGCTTATGTTAGCCTACAGTTGGACACAAACACCTAACACAATCACAGTCATACACTGTAGGGTCAGTGGTTCGCCCTCGTGAGCGTGTGGCTGGCTAGGAGCTGTGGCTGCCTGCCACCTCCCAGCGTCACGAGAAAGTGTCATACTGCGTATCGCGAGCACAGGAAAAGATCAAAACCCAACATTTGAAGTACGGTTTCTACTGAGTGCATGTAGCTCTTACACCATTGTAAAGTTGAAAAATTGCAAGTGGAACCACTGTTAAGTTGGGGACCATCTGTATTGGTGCACAAGGGAAGAGTTAGTAAAGAAGCAGTGGAGTTGGGTTCAGTCAACCTGGGAAGGCTTCCTGGAGAAGGTGGCCATTTTGAAACTGGGTAGAGCCAGGGTTGGTGAGGAGACCCAGCCTGTGTATCCCTTCAGAGGTCTGAAGTGACAAAGAGATTAACCAGTTGGGATTGAAGTGGAGGGTCAGCAACCCACAGGCTGGACAGGAGAGGGGGCTCCGGAGGGCTCTCTGAGGTCACAGGAGTCCACGAATGCTGCCCCCTTGTTGCTTCTCATGCTCGTATCAGAGAATCAGATCCAGCTGCAGCAGGCGGAGCCGGGCTTGTCCCTTGCCTTGGGTCCCTCTGCCCCCGTGTTCTGGTGGTTTGGAGCAGCAAAGCCTGGTGCATTTGTGTTGTTTCTCACAACGACTGAACATGGAGCTTCAAGACTAGTGAAAGGGAGTGTACAGCCGAGGAGTCCAGTTCTTTGTTCGTTGCAAATCTGAAGCCACAGGGACAGTCGTCTCACCACCTCCAGGTCAATCTGGAGGGGAGCCTGGGCGGCAGTGAACTACTGTACCCCGCTCCAGGCCGCAGGGCGGTGAGCGGTAGGCAAACTAGATGTGCTGGGGCAGTGGGGGACCTCTACTGTTCCATCCCACTACGAAGCCCACATGTGGGAAGGAATCGCGGGAGTTCATGAAATCCACGCCACCCCCAGGCGGGGCTGCCCTGGTGCCCTGCATCCTGCCAGGCTTGGCTAAGGCCCCGATGGGCTGCTGGGCTTTCCCGGTGGCTTGCCGTTTCCTCCCCACCCACAACTTCGATTGGCTGAGATCGCCCTGCTCTCCCCTCCCCCCTCTCCTGCCCCCAGTCTCATTATTTCTACATAAAGCTGTAGATTTATCATTATAATAGAGCAGCCGTCACTGAGGTTTGCTAACATCTCTCTAATCTTGTAGTTATTGCCACAGAGGCCTCAGACCTCACTACACATACTATTCCTGTCGCCGTTCCGGCTCCTCTGTGGTGGTGGCCGGTGAAGGCTGTAATTGGGGCCATAAATATGTGTTGTGCTTGATGGTAATGGACTCAGCTGTCTCTCTGCTTTACCAGGTCCCCGGCAGGTCAGAGTGAGCGCGCGCGTGTGTGTGTGTACCCATGTGTGTTGCATGTGTGTTACACGTGAGTGTTGTTTGGGGGGTGACGGAGCGCTCTGTATACTTCCAGGGAGCCTGGGCTCAGAGTCGGCAGGGAGAGAGGGAGGCCTAACATGACACCAACTACCTGAGCGTCTCCCTGGAGAGCCTGCGGCTGGGAGTG